GTTAGTTAGTTAGTTAGTTAGTTAGTTAGTTAGTTAGTTAGTTAGTTTTTTCGAGGCATGGTTTATCTATTTAGCCTTGGCTATCCTAGACTTGCTTTGTAGACCAGGCTGGCCTTGAACTTGCAGAAATCTAACTGCCTCTGCCTTCCTGAATGCTGGGATTACAGGCTCAAGTTTTTCCTGTTTGTGACATGAGGAGACGCTGATGGGGTAATTTCTTTCTGAGGTATAGCTTCTGCCTCAGCTTCCCGAGTGCTGGGATGGCTGGGGGTGGAGCAGAACTGTGCCTCTACATACTGCTCTCTCTCTGTATATGTATCTATGTATCTCTATCTCCCTCCTTCCTTCCCTTTCTCTTTTAAACCTTGCATTATTTATTGTGTTCTTGTGTGTGCACGTTCGCACATGCACAAAAGAGCCACGACACACATGTGGAGGTCAGAGCTCTCTCCTTCCTTCCACCACGTGGGTCCCCAGGCAATGGAGCTCGGGTCATCAGGCTCCATGCGATGAGCTGGCTCTCTGCCACCCTCCACATTATAGAAACAGCATCTCTGTATCTCATGCTGACCTCAAACTCACCATTTAGATCAGGATGGCTTCCAACTCCTGATCCTCCTTCCGAAATGCTCAGATTGCCACAACACTAGGTTTATATAGACCTGTGCCACCATGTCTGCTTTGTAACTTGCCTTTCACCAGATGGCAGGAAGAGTGCCCACCTGCTACCAGATAATCAGAGCCACGTGCCAGGCCGGACAAGGCCATGGTCACCAGATTCAAGAGCCTACCCAGAGGAGTGTCTTCACAGATAAAGAAGTTTGGAATCAGAGACCCAGAAACAAGGGCATGGGCAGAGGCTAGGCTCAGACATGGCTACTCACACATAAGCAGTATCAGGGTCATGTCTGCTTCCTGGAAGAGGCCAGAGAGGAGAGTCAAAACAAGCTCAGCTCCCAGCTCTGGCCCATTCCCTCCCCCTAGAGCTACCCACCTTTGTAGAAATTCTGGTACCTAGGGGACTCAGGACCTGGAAGAAAGGCTAAGCTAGGCTTACTTCCCTCCAGGTCCTGCCCCAACCCAACCCAGGCTCTTCAGCCCAAGCAAAGGACTGGGGGCTTTGGACCACTACAGCTTTGTGCACAGTCTGCCTCAACTGTGAGTCCATCAACCCCAGCCACAGCTCTCCCTAGAAGGCCTTCCCACACCAGTGCTTGTCCCGCTGTCCCTTCCCCACTCAGGCTTGTTCCTGCCTGGTGTCACTCACCCTCCAGGTGGGAGAACATCAGCTTGTTCTTCCTGCAAGGATGGGGCAGCGGGTGGTGCTGAGCTGGTGCCCTGGGGAGGGGATAGCTCCCCAGAACCTCACAGCCAGCCGTAAGCTCTGCAGCTTAGAGACAGAGTGAGGCCTGGGCCTGGCTCTGCTGGGTGGGATCCCAGGTCCCGGCCCTGTGAGGACCACACACTCTAGAATGCCTTCCTACCTTTCAAATGACTTCTCTGAGGCTGTGTTCCTTAGGGGTCCTGGCCACACCTGCCTGGCCACTTTTGGAGAGAAGAAGGGACAGGGTATTTTCACCCCGTATACCAGGCTGGCCTCAGGGCAAGGGACACAGAAGGGACCTTGACATAGGGAGTCCCAGCCCGAACCAATCCCAGGATGCATCAAGGACTCACAGGAGTAGGTCTGAGACACAGTGCAGCTCTGTTCATTTTCTTGCCTGTGAATACACAAGGGTGAGCTGAGCTGGGCTTTGGCATTCCCCAGGCAAGGATGTAGAGAAAGACCGAGAGACAGAAAAGGACAAGACACACAGAAAAGAGGGCGAGGCTGAGCCTGGGAATGTGTCTGTTTGAACATGCCTGGATTCCCAGCACTCAGGGTGGGAGGAACAATGTGAGTTTGAGGCCAGCTTGGCCTACAAAGTAAGTTCTATGCTAGCCAGTGCATTGGAGTAATCCTGCCTCAAAAGCAAAAAATAAAGTCAACAAGCAAGCTTTAGCCATGGCTCAGGGTGGTCAGAGATGGAAGATTTTGTTTTCAAATCTCACTGTGGTTTTTCAGTTGCAAAAGGAAATGAGAAAGGGTGTGTGTATGTGTGAGTGACAGGGCCTACTGGGGTGTGCGCGTGAGGGCTGTGCTGTGTCTGTGGGCAGTGGATGTGCATGTAACAGGGAGGGGCACAGTATGGTCAGCTGGTTCCCTTTCTCCCTCCCTCTTTCTTTCTTTTCTTTGTTTTGCCATTGGGTCTCACTTTGTAGGCCTGACTGGCCTGGAACTTACTGTGTAGACCAGGCTAGCTTGGAACTCAGAAATCCACCTGTCTCTGCCTCCTGAGTGCTGGGACTAAAGGGGCAGACCATCATGCCTGCCCCTTGCCTTTCTTTTTATATTGGGCATTGAGCTGAGGACCCTGAGCATACTCAGCAAGCACAATACATACCACTGAGCCACACCCAGCCCCTCACTGGGGGACCCTAGGCAGGGGCTTTACAGTTTAGTCAAATTCCCACTTCTAAAATTATTTTTATGTGTATTGGTATTTCGCCCATGTGTATGCCTGCCCACCACACGTATGCCTGGTGCCTGAGGAGGACAGAAGAGGGCATGGATCTCCTGGAACCCGAGTCAAAGACTGTTATGAGCCGGGTATGTTGGTGTACGTTTTTAATCCCAGCACTTGGGAGGCAGAGGCAGGTGGATCTCTATGAGTTCAAGTCAGCCTGATCTACAAAGAGAGTCCAGGGCAGCCAAGACTACACAGAGAAACCCTGTCTCAAAAAAACAAACAGAAAGAAAGATAAAAGACTGTTGTGAGCCATTATGTGGGTTTTGGAGATCAAATCCAGATTTTCTGGAAAAGCAGCCAGTGCCTCAAGGCCTGCCATCTCTCAAGCCCTGCTTTCTTATTTTAAAAAGTTTATTTTATCTGTATTTAGTGTGTCTCTCTCTCTCTCTCTCTCTCTGTGTGTGTGTGTGTGTGTGTGTAGAGGACAGTGTTAAGGAGTCTGTAATATTCTTCCCCTGTGGGTTCCAGGGGGATTGAACTCAGGTTTTCAGGTTTTGTGTCAGTCCCTTTTACTTACATTCTTCAGCCCCCTACTGTTTAAATTTAAGCCAATTTAAATTCCAACAGAAATGCCTTCTGTGGCTCAGGCAGGCTCTGGAATATACGGGGTGACGGGAGGTGCCCAGCCCCTCTTAGGTGTCTCTTAGATTCCACTCTCATCTGCCTGGAGCCCAGGTGTCTGCCCCCACTACCACTGCCCTGTGGCGGCACATTCCCATGGATAGCCCAGCCTCTTTCTCTCCCTCCACTTGAATGCCAGGCAGCCATTAGAGCCTTCTATGCAGCAGGCGTGAGTGAGTGAGGGCAAGGACTGGGTTCCTGAAGGGGATCGCCATCGCAGGGTGCTCAAGTATGACAAGCTGGGGCAACTCACTGGTTCCTCTGCTCGTAGATTTTCCCAGTTTTCTTCACCCCTGCAAGAAGAGAAACAGCATAGCAAGTCTCCCCTAAACTAAGAGGGTGGAATGGAGAAGCGCTGGGATTCTCCAACCCCCTTTGTAACTTCTCCATCCCCCCAACCCCCTTTATAACTCCACCAGGCCCTTGTCAAGTCCCTGTGGCTGCCTGTCATTGAAATGGCTCTTGTCAGTTGGGTGTGTTGACACATGCCTGTGATCCCAGCACTCAGGAAGCTGAGGCCAGAGGGCAGGAACATTTGAGGATAGCCTGGGCTACAGTATGAGACAGTCTGAAAGAGAAAGGATTAAAAGGAAGAAAATGGGTCTGGAGAGATGTCTCAGAGGTTAAGAGTACTGACTGTTCTTCCAGAGGTCCTGAGTTTAATTCCTAGCAACGACATAGTGACTCACAACCATCTGTAATGAGATCTGGTGCCCTCTTCTGGCGTGCAGGCAGAACGCTCTAGAAATAATAGATAGATGATAGATAGATAGATAGATAGATAGATAGATAGATAGATAGATTTTTTTAAAAAGGAAAAAATGAAAGGAAGGAGGAAGGAAGAAGAGAGAAAAGACAGAGGAAAGAGGGGAAGAGAAGAAAAAAAGGAGGAAGAGAAGGAGAGAGCTGGAGTAGGAGGTAAGAAGGAAGAAGGGAGGGAGAGAAGGAAAGGTACTTAATCCCTTTTGAGGGGTGACAATAGCTGGAAATAGAGGGTGCCACAGTAGCCCAGCCTCCCCTTTCTCATATCTAGAGCAACTTCCTGGACTAAGTGACCCCCACGACCTAGCAGAACTGGCCTCTGCTCACACTCACTGTCCTCAGGGGCCATATAGGGGCCACCAGCTGGTTCCTAGGTGCTCATTCTCCTGCCCCTCCCATCACAGCCAGGTCCAGCCCCAGAGGCTCCTGGGACATACTGTCCACAGTACTCCCATCACTCCTTTCCTGTGTGACACTTACCTTGGCGGGCGCATCGGACACACAGCCAGGCTGTGGACCCCAACAGCAGCAGCACTAGTAGTGACAGTGGCCACAGCAGCTCCAGCTCGGTGCTCATGTTGGCTTGGGGAAGGGGCTGTGAAGCTACATTGGAGATGTGTGAGCCAGTGGCTCCAGCTGCTGCCCCAGCCCACCTGTTCGCTTTCTCATCTCTCTCTGGTCCTTGGCTCTAGCAACATCAATGAAATGGCCTTCCCTACTTCTGAATTGAACCAGCTGTGTCTCCCACGTGACCCTAACCAGCATACTGACTACCAGACTACGTGTGCTATAAAGTTGAGAGTATTAGGCAGCACCAAGAAATTGAGTAAAATTCTAAGCACTGTTCCCAATCTACCTGGTCCTGAGAGACAGGCTCCTTACGTCACAGGTGGAGAATTTAAGACTGAGAAAGCCCCCACAGCTGCTTTGTGGAAAAGGAGGATTCAGCACTCAGTCCTGGCCCTCGAATAGGGGCTCACACCTGTAATCCCAGCAACCCTGGAGGCTGAAGCAGGAGGATTTCCACTAGTTTTCAGGACAGCCTGAGACAACCAACATAGTGAGTTTTGGGCTAGCCTGGGCTAAATACTGAGAGCCTGTGTCAGAAACAAAACAGAAATAAGGCAGAGCAGCTGGAGAGAGGGCTCAGCAGTTAAGAGTGCTTGCTGCTCACAGCTCATGACACCTGTAACTCGTGTCAGTAAAATCCAACACCCTTTCTCCCCGAGCATGAGAGGGTAGGCACATGTGCCTGCAAGCGCGCACACGCTCCCTCTCTCCCACCCAAGCCTGTCCTGTTGCTGTATTATCAGTAAACTTGGCTCTGAGGTTGCAGTCGTCCCCAGCCTTCACATGTTCTCAGTGCTGCTTCCATCTCCAGGAAGATAGAGGCGTTTCCTTCCCCCCAGCTCCCAAGAACCCGGATCCTAGCAGCATGGTGGTGGTGGTGCACACCTTTAATCCCAGGGCTTGGGAGGCAGAGGCAGGCAGATCTCTGAGTTGGAGGCCAGCCTGGTCTACAGAGTGAGCTCCAGGACAGCCAGAGCTACACAGAGGAACACTGTCTCAAAACAAAACAAAATGAAACAAACAGCAACAAAAAGCTCCCAGATTCTGCCGTGGTGAGAGCCGCAGGGTCCCAGTCAGTGAGGAGGAAACCCTGACACAGTGTACTTCAGGGACTGGGCCCCAGCTGAAGGATAGGGCTTGAGGTCCTTCAGAGTGAGGCTGGTCCTGTGAGAGACAAAAGAGGTGGGGCTGTGGAGAAGGATGTCTGGAGTGAGGAGGCTGTGAGTCCCCAGGTAGCCCAGGGCCACGTCCAAGGCAGTGGTTGTCCCAGCCTTGGTGAAGCCACATGCAATCTGGTGAGTGGAGGTTTAGCCCTCTCTAATAAGCTGTCACAGTTACGAGACTCAGCTCCATACCATGGGCAAGAGAAACAGTTGAGGGAACCAGTCCTGTGTGAGGCACACGTGGAATGTGGATGACCAAGTGGCCACTCTGTCTGCAGCTGGTCCCACCTCAAGCTAGAGAAGGAGTGGCTCAGCTGTAGAGCTCCCGCCTAGAATCCCCCAGTGAGGGGCTGGGATGTGGCATAGCTGTTAGAGCTCCTGCCTTGAATCCCCCAGTGAGGGGCTGGGGTGTGGCTCAGTAAGAGAGCACCTGCCTAGAATTCCCCCAGCTAGGGGTCAAGGGGTGTGGCCCTTGGTTAGGACATTGATTCTGTCTACCAAAGAGACCCATAAACTGAGCATAGGGCACATGCATGCAACTCCAGCACAGTGGTTCTCAACCTGTGGGTCTGTGGGTCGCAACCTCCTTGGGGGATCAACAGGGGTTACATATCAGATATCCTGCATATCAAATATTTCCATTACGATTCATAACAGTAACTAAGTGATAGTTATGAAATAGCAACAAAAATGATTTTATGCTGGGGGGGGTCACCACAACATGAGAAACTGCATTAAAGGGTTGCAGTATTAGGAAGGTTGAGAACCGCTGCTCTAGCCTTTCAAGAAACAGAAGCCAGGAAGACTAGGAGATCAAGGCAAGCTCTGCGTACAAAGCACAATGCTATCTATATATTTGAAAAAGGAGAGGGACACACACATACATATATGTAGAGAGAGAGGGACAGAGAGGAGGAAGGGGAGGAAATACGGGTGAATAATAGAGGGTAGGGAGAGGAGAATCAAATCCTGGTGTCTCCTGTACACCTGTAATTCTAGCACTTAGGAGGCAGAGGCAGATCACTTCAAGGTCATCCTTGGCAACATAATAGCCAGTTTGGGCTACAAGACACTTGTCTCAAAGGGGGGAAAAAAGAACAGGGGAAGTCTTGGGCATAGTGAACAGGCAGGCTACATATAACTCAGCACTTGCCCAGGTTAGCCCACTTATGACACCCCCCCAAAAAAAAGCAAGCTTGGCATTCAAGGTCCCAGGAGCTAGCCTGCTGACTTCCGTTTCCCAGGCCTTAAGAAGAAGGATCTTCCTCCATCTGAGAGGCCTTGGCTACCAGAGAGCACTCTTGGTACTGGAGCTTTTGTACAGGGATGAGCAGGACTCCAGAAGCCCTCAGGCTGAGACAGTATTTGTCAGGGTCGCCTATAAACTCTAACCCGTCACACGGGGGAAATAACAAATGTCCTTTGAGTCTGTCACATGAGGCCTGTCATGGAGATGATGAATGTAAGAGTAGGGTCAGCCATGTGACACTTGTCATAGTCACAGTTCTTAGTCATGTGACATGGGAAGAGACTATCAGTGGCCTGCAGCAAAGACCAAGGGGATGTACTCTCCTGCTTGGTGACATCTAGAAGCGCATTCCCTCGGACTCCAGGAGTCTTGAGGGAAGGGCTTGGTGATGGGCTGTGGGAGCTAAGGAAGTGGATATGCCAGGCCTAGTGGTGCTGTGGTAATCCTAGCTGCTCAGGAGGCAGAGGCAGGCATATTGCACATTTCAAGGTCAACCTGGGCTATATTGCAAGTTCAAAGTCCCTGAGACCCTGTCTTAAAACATAAAAAGGCCTAGGGGCATGGTTAAGACATTTGCTTAGAGTCTCCCAATGATGGACTAGGCTCGTGGCTTAGTGGAGAGCAGCTACCTAGAGTCACCCAGAGGGATATGCCCAAGTTTAACCTAGCAAGGGGAAGGCCGTGGCTCCATTCCCAGCAGGGGGTTGGGGGGCAGAATGGGAGGTGGGGCTGGAGAGATGGCTCAGAGATCAAGAGCATGGACTGCTCTCTCAGAGGACCTGGGTTTGATTCTCAGTACCCACATCTCACAACCATCTGTAATTCCAGTTCCAAGAGATCCAATCCTCTCTCAGTCTTTGTGGGCACCAGGCATGCAAACAAAGCACTCATATATATATATATATTATACACTTTGTTTTTGAGACAGCGAGTCACTGTGTAGCCCTGGTGGTTCTGAAACTCACTGTGTAGACCAGGCTGGCTGGCCTCTGCCTCCCAAGTGCTGGGATTATAGGGGTGTGCCATCATGTTCCAATTTACATGAATGTTTAGATTTTAAAAAGGTTGCTGGAGAGCGGTGTCTCCCTCAGTGGTAGGATGCGCGTGCTCCCCTAGAGGACCCCCACTCACACTCGGTAAGCAAACCTGGTATTCATTGGGCCACCACACTATCCCACCCACACTGAAGGAAGGGCATGAAATCAGAAGGGGATTCGTCGGCAAGGGGGCAGGGATTGGTGGAAATGGGGAGGACAAGAGAAGTGACTGGGGGTGAAAATGATCAAGATGCATCTCCTACACCCATGGAAATGTCTAGTCTATTATGAATAATTTGTACCGGTAAACAGACTGAATGGGGGGCTGGTGAGATAGCTCTCAGTTAAAGGTGCTTGCCTCCAAGCCTGATGGCCTGAATCTGACTCCCCAGGACCCACGTGGTGGGGAGAACTAACTCCTCCAAGTTCTCTGACCTATGCTGTGGCGCAGGCACATCCATCCACACATACAATGAAGAATATATCAAAGTATTGAAAAACAAGTCGAGAGCAGGCATGAGTGCACGGGGTACTTCCTGGATAGGGTCTGGGGATTGCTTCTCAGGTGGGAGATCCCCCCGAGCCCCACTGCTTTCTTCCGAGGGAGCAGACTGGAGGTTCTGAGAGGCACATCCTGTGTGTGAAGAAGATGGAAATCCAGAGCAGGCCCAGTGAACTCCCTCCATCTCACCTGATGCTCGCTAGGACAGCAGGCAGGCTGAGTGTGGAGGGAGGACTGTGGGTCTGCAGGCAGGGCAACCCAGCAGTTGCAGAAGGCCCCAAGGGGCCAGAGCAGGGCTAGCTGTGGGTGTGGGGGGGACTGCCACAGCCCTGTTGCTCTGTGGGCCAAAATAGCTCAAAGGGAAGTGGGCAGTTTTCAAATGAACAAGGCTTGCTTCTGAGCCTCCAGCCTCAATGGCCGTGAGCGATCGCTCTGCAATCAACTGTCCACTGTTGAGAAACCAGAGGCCCTAACAGTCAGCTTGGATGAGGAATGCATCCAGTCTCACTGACCTGGGATGACTCTACTCCTGGGGTGCTACTCCGGGACTGTGGTCTTAGCTGAGTAACTTTTCCGTGGTTTGTTCCCTTAAAACAGGGTCTCACCGTGGAGTACAGGCTGGCTTTGAACGCACTGCCCTTCCACTTCAGCATTCCTAGAGCCATGATTACAGGAGTGGAGACCAGGCCAGGCAGGTTGTGTGTGTGTGTAGAGGGGGCGGGGGAGGTATGCCTATGTGCAGAGGTCTGGCAGGCCCTGTCTCTGGCCAACCTGGACCACCCATTCGCAGAGCCAGAACCAAGGAGCTACCAACTCTACAGGGGTTATCCCTCAGACGGTACAAGCTGGCTCAGGCTTCAGTAGATTTTTGGGGACAGTGACTTCCTCCTGGCTGGGGCAGGGCCTGGGCACAGTTCCCTAGAACATCCCAGATTCATCCACAGGCCTGTGTCATTAGCCAACCCTTCACAGATGAAACTGAGCTCATCTCTGGCTTTTGGCTGGCTCTCCCCAGTCACTGGTAGTGACAGAACCACCCTAGGGCTTCTTGGGAGTCTCGCAGACTGGGAGTTTGGAAAGACAATGATAGGTAGGTAGATGCCTAAATCCCCTGAAGGCAGGCTTTCCTTGCGGGTCACAGTGCCAGGCCAGGGTAGGAGGTATCACGTGTCCCGGCCTCCACTCAGTCTACAGCTAAGGGTCTTGTGGGGTGTAGGACACCTGCTCAAGCTGAGCACCCCTGGGAAAAACTTACCTGAGAGTGGGGCCTCCTCACCATGGCCATCCCATCCTGTGCCTGAACACCTGCTCAAGCCGATACCAACAGCACAAACTCTGGCGGGCAGTAGGCGAGGCAGTTGTTTCCTGTCACCACTGAATCATCCCTCTACATCCGCCGTGGCCGGACTGCTAGGCTGCTTAGTGACAAAGGGGGTGGAGCAGAGACAGAAAAAGATAGACAAGAGCATGGTGGTGCAGGTCTTTAAATGCAGGCAGATCTCTTGTGAGTTTGAGGCTAGCTTGGTTTATCTAGTGAGCTCCAGCCAGGACACAGAAAGACCCTATTAGAAATTCAGAAATAAAGAGAGTGAGAGAGAGAGAGAGCACAAATGAGAGAGAGAGAGAGAGAGAGAGAGAGAGAGAGAGAGAGAAAGGAGACAGGGAAAGAAAGAGAGAGAAAGGTTAGGCAAGATGGCTCACTTTTCACTGAGCCTAACAACTTGGGTTCTATCACCAAGAACCACATACGGAGAGAACTGGTACCTGCTAGTTGTCCTCTGATGTACACACACACACACAGGCATATGCACTGCACGGGTGCACACACACATGCATGGGGGTAGAGTGGTGATAAAAAAGAAAACAGAAACAGGAGAAATGGGAAGTGAGAGATGGGTACGGAAAGAACAAAAGCCAGGGCTCACACACAGCACACACCAAACTGAATGCACAGACACAGGTCATATGGAGCATGGAGAAGGGAGGCCACCCAGTGAGGGGTAGGGAGGAGAGTCACCCAAGAGTTCACATGGACACACAGAAGTGGAGAGGACAGATGGGAAGTTGTGTAGGAGGGACACACAAAAACAGGTCAGGAGAGGATAAAAAAAGAGACCCAGCTATACAGACACACTGACAACCAGAGGCAAGAGGAAGCTAGAGTCTTGCCAGCAACCAGAGATTTGAGAGTGGGGATATGAGGCAAGGAGACAAGAGTAGTCTAATCCCATAGGACAGACACCAAACGGCAGATAGCAAAGGACCAGTGTGTCAAAGACAGCTGGATAGAGAGCAAAGCTGCCTCTTTGTGTGTGTGCACGCGCGCGTGCGGTGGATGACTGTAGAGGCCAGAAATCCTCCTTGATGTCTTTGAGTCAGGGTTTCTCTATGTAGCCTTGACTGTCCTGGAACTTGCTCTGTAGACCAGGCTGGCCTCAAACTGAGATCCATGCACTGACATGCTGGCTCCGTGTCACCTACGTTTAAAAAACAAAACTGCCTGTCTTTACTTTAGTTTTTTGTAGGTGTGAGGGCACATGTATCACCAAGCAATGTGGAAGTCAGAAGAGAACTGGGAGTTGGTTCTTATTCTACCATGTGGGTTCTAGGGATAGAACTCTGTGTCTTGGTGGAACCCACTGAGACATCTTCCAGCCCACCTCAAGGCTTTATTATTTCAATTTGGGTCTCACTATGTAGTTCTGGCTGGCCTGGGAATCAGAGAGCCACCTGTTTCTTAAATGCTGGGACCATACCCAATTCCCACCTTAATTTCTCTTTCACTGGCCTGAGACTCGCCAAGTAGCTTAGGCTGGCTGGTCCTGCAAGCTCCAGATAGCCATATTTCAATGTCCTCAGTGCTCAGATCACTGGTGTTCATGCCCAGCTTTCCTATGAGTGTTGGGGAGCCAAGCTTGGGTCCTTTGGCTTCTGAGAGCTTTACCAACTGAGCCATGCCCCAACCTCCCTGGGGTTCAGAGGCCAGCAGGCACCACTGCCTCAAGTGAGAAGGATCAATGACCTGTCTACCTCAGTGCACCCTGGAACTTGGAACTATCCCACCTGCTGAGGACATCAAAGCCTGAGGGGAGATGGTCCTACCCTGCAATCTGCTGCTGCCACCCTGTGGGAAAGCAAAGTAGCACAGGCAGTTCAGAAGCTGGCCCCACCTGGACCCTGGGACTACTGAAGCCAGCTCCATTAGAAATCTGTACCAGGCAGACAGTTCACTTGGTTCCTAAGACTTTTTCTTTTCTATGGGGTCAGGTGGGGAGGTAGAGAACCCCTAAAGGAAATGCTAGTATTCATGGCAGGGCTCCTTCCCTCATTTTGGGAACAATTGAGCATCCATCCTTGATTGCTGGCATAGCCACTCGTTCTATGCCCTCCTTAGGGCACCTGCATATAAATGCACAATTAACCAACACCACCAAAACCGGCACAGGGGCTGGGGATGCTTCTCAATTGGTGCTTGCTTGTCTAGGTTCCACCTCCAACAAGGCACAGCTGATGTAGGGGAAGGCTTCTAATTTCTCATTTTAAGACTCTCTTTAACTATGCAGTCCAGGATGGGCCTTGAACTTGCAACCATTCTGCCTCCGTCTTTGGAATAGCTAGAATTATTGAATAATGCCAGCATGTATGTCTGTGCAATCCTTGTTTGCCTGGTTCATGGAAACCAGAGGATAACCAGATCCCCTGGAACTGAATCAAGTTAAGACTGCTGAGCCACCTTGTAGGTGCAGAAGAACAGGTGCTGACGAACCAGCTCTTTAGTTCCAAACCTCTTGTTCAGGCTGACTTTCACTCTTAAGATCTGCCTCCCTCTACCTCCCCGAGTGCTGGAATTAAAAGCCCATGCCTCCATGCACAGCTTTAGTGTTGAGCGTGTTCTTTTATTTCAACAGTGTAACTAACATGAGACTTCTACCAATCCCAAGGACCCTTGGTGCTATTCTGGGCATAGGACCCTCTCCTGACTCCCTTCAGAGGGACAAGCTGGGATAGTCATTGCTCTGCCAATCACTTCTTGCATCTCCCAGGGAACCCTGACTAATTAGGGTCCAATAGACCACCACAGAGCTACTGATCACAAAAAACATTTGCTTTCAAGTATCTAATGTTTCAGATAGTTAAGGACGCAGCAAATTTAGATACAGCAAGGCCTGAGGAGGCTGTAGTCAATTTTCCCTTTTTTGTTTCCCAAATTAAATTCACAGTTTATGTGGACACATATGGAGGTCAGAGTAGAGAAGCCATTTCTTTCAAGCATGTGAGTTCTAGGGATTGAACTCAGGTCTTAAGGCATGCATCAAATGTCCTTACCTGCTAAGTCACCTCACTGTCTTGTCTTCAACTCTGTGGGTCACCTTCATGAAAAAGCTGCTGCTCCTTAAGAGGATCTGGTGTCCCAATCCCAGTACCACATAAGAGCTCCCAACTAGCTGTTAACTCCAGCTCCAGGAGAGGCAACACCCTCTTCCGACCACTCCGTGGGGAAAATGCTCATGCACACGGTGCAAACACACTCACTCAGGCAAAACGCTCACACACAACTAACTCTTCAGTCAGAGACAAGACAGCTTAGTGATTAGAGCACCGGCTGCTCCTGTACAGGACTTGGGTTTGATCCCAAGCACCTACAGGACAGCTCACAAGTCTCCGTAACTCCGGGTCCAACAGAGCCAGTTCCTTCCTTTGGCCCTCACCAGCCCTGAGTGCATGTGGTACAAACACAGGAGAGAAAAGGTCCAAAATTCTAGCCACAGTGGGCACCCACACCCACCTGCTGTCAGCATCGCCAAGATCCAGACTCTGGGGAGACAATCTAGCCTAATGAAATGAATCCCAAAGGAAGTACATTTGAGCATGCTGACTTGTTCTGTGAAACCAGTCCAGGAACACCAGAGGCTGGGGTGTGGCTCATCTGTAGTGTTTTCACATAGCATATAGGTTTTGTGTTCAATTCCTAAGACCAAACAATACAAATTTCCCACAAAAGCAGAGAAAACTAGTAACCATCTGTCTGACCTCATCTCAGGAACATCAATGTAGATGGTTTAAACACTGTGAAAAAGATCCTTTTTATTTGGGCATTTTGCTAGCATCACAGCTACCCTCACAGGTGACTCCTGGAGGCACACAGGCAGTAAGCTGGTGAACATCTTTGTAAGTTTCTTCACTTTTGAGATGTTTCATTATGTAGGCCACGCTAGTCTTGAATTCAAGAGCTCTGCCTCCTGTGCTGGGACTAAGGTGCTTACTACGACCGTATATATATATTTTTTAATGTATTAGGGCATTTTTACCTGCACATGCATTTGGACCTGATGATGGCAGTCAGAAGACTCCAGAGGTCCTGGGACTGGAGGTATACATGTTTGTCAACTCCCATTTGGGCACTGGGAATAAAATCTATGTTCTCCAGCATAGCAGCTGGTACCCTTAACTCGTGAGCCATCTCTAGTCCCTCATAAAATACAGGGTCACTGAACCAGAGCTCACATACTTGGGCTAGACTGGGCGGCCAGCAAGACCTAGGTATCTTCCTGTCTGTCTCCCCAGCGCTTGAGATCACGGGTGTGCAATGTGTTTTACACGGATGCTGGAGATGCTCACACAATAAACACTGTCCTTTAGGTGCCAAACTCCACCTTCTTCTGAGATTCCGAGGATCAGGCTTCTGCAAAGTAGGCCATCCAATACACCATAGAATGCAGCCATGAGACAGCACACTCAGTGGGGGACAGGGCTTGCCTAGCAGGATCACGAACCACGGTTTGACCCTCTGAACGGCTAAAAAGCTGCTGGGCCCCTGCCATTTGAATCACTTCTAAATGTTTCTCAATAGCACTCCAAAATTCAAAACTCAACTTCACAAGTGGCCAGAAAGACAAGCAGTAAATGTTACGTAAGGTTCTCTTTTATTTAAACGATCATTCACAAAATACCATATCCATAGACTCACTTTCTGTCATAGAACTGAATGTGTTAAGTGTTTGGAATTCCATTCGTACAGAGTCAGCTGGGCGCCCAGCAGTGTGGATGGACGTGCCTGTTCTGTCTTTTCCGCATTGGAGATGGATTAGATCATCTGAAAGCATCAGCTTTGATTACAACCACGCAATGCATGTCTGTCTTAAGTTAGGTATTGGTGTTACACAAATGGTTCTTATCTCAGAAGCAGAGAAGATGGCAGGCGAGGGAAGGAGTGAGAGTTCTGTAAATTGCCGAGACCTTTCGACAAAGACAATCATGAGCTAAGGGGTAGGCTGGCAGGAAGCTGCTAGCTAATAAGCAAGCTGCGCACCTCTCGCAGCCCCCTTTCCTAAGGCTGGCTGGCCCCTAACTGCTCTAACTGG